TGAGAGTCCATTTGATGCAAGTGAATCGAATCTGCGCACATAACAAATCACAACCTTCTCCAATGACTACAACCACCACCCTGATGCATTGATTTTTTCACGTTTGTGAGGTAGCAGATACCTGAAATTCTATCCGAACAATGATTGTTTTCTGGAAGACCAAATGAAACTTCATCCGATGGCCTGTCCGAACTGTACCGAACCGTACACAGTGCAATCATGATAACAGGATGAAGTTGATGCAATCGTGAAAGGGTGCTGGGTCGGTAGGGAACTAATAATCTGAGTTTGTCCTAGTTGATTTCAATGGTGGATTTTCCGTTTTTGTGCTGACAAGAAATTGAGAAAAACTGAAAATTACGATGACGAGGTCTGGTGGCCAATTGTTCGGATGGGTTCATGGAATCGATAGGTAGCGCTAACAGCTAACCGCTTCCGACTGTTGACGGAGTGACAGTGAATAAGTCACACGAGCCTAAAGTCCAATAATGCGTTAGATGATTTAAGTCTAAGGGAGGGGGAGGTGCTGGAACACTTGTTGTCGCTTCAGAGAAACGTCACGTTCCATTCCGTGCTGTACATGAGCTTATGCATTTTCCAATTCGATGTACGCAATATGATCACGGGAGTGGACAGGAGCCGTATGGAGGACACCATTTGGTACAAGACATTTTTCCCTTTTAACTCAGTTTTCTCGTGAACATTAAGTAATACGAGTGATCCAGTGTTCAAAATCAGTGAATGTATTTGAAAAATGTGCACCAGTGATGTGATCCAAGAAGCTCAAAACCCAGTTCCAGTGCTTCCACAATATGAATATGTAGTCAACTGCATTGTGAGTGACAGTTATGTGTGTAAATGATATATTTATATATTTTCACACACGTCTAAATCCAGACTGTGTGCCAAGCAAATCACGGTAGAGTAATCTTTATGAAAAAGAAAAACATTCCACGATTCGCATATGGGTCGAATACTGCCAGGTTGCCCAGACCAAGGCAGGTGAGTTTTTCTTGAGGGATCCACAACCGGAGCTTTGGGCTAGCCAAAGCCAGACCCGCAAGGCAGCGGGTCTATGTGTGAAAACGGCGAACCATTGGGAGCCGATGTCCAGTTCATCGGATCATACGCCCTTTGGAAGGGATAAAACATCCAAGGTGCCCAATACATCTCGATCTCTAATCGAGCCGTTGACCACTGCCACAACCAGGAAGTTGTATGTGTGGATCGTACGCCTCCTCATGGTTCGTTTGGAATCAGGGTTTTAGGCCAACTGCCCTACGTTAACTAATAGTGGTCCACCAACCACGTTATAGCCCCGGATGTGGGCTTCTCGTCCTCTCACTTTGGCGAGGAAACACTTCCGCCCCACGGGAAGGCAGTGAGTGGGGCTTCCTCAGCCCATTATCATCAAAATGATCATCATCCGAGTCATCATCATCACTTCTTCTAGTCGATGTATGTGCGAAGAAAATCGGATTTGGGAACCAACGAATCCATTAGAATTGCTTTTTTCACTTTTACTTCCTGTTATTAAAAACAGAATGATACAGTCTTCAGGAAGGGGAGGCGGCCAATCAAAGGGATACCGTATAACACCCATAGTGGGGAAAGTTAGGCGGTGTGGATGGGATTCGAACACATCCTCCGGGGTAATAATTTGGTGACGTTACCAGCTGGTCACCATAGAACATACCAAATGCCTGAGGGAATATGTGGAGTGTTAGTGTCATCACTATTCCCACGTTTGCTATCAGCGTACATTCGACCCTATACAGAGTACGCCATCCAAGCTTGGAGTCCATGGCTTCAGCGTGATCGCAAGATGCTTGAGCGTCCACAAAGAATGGCCACCAAGATGGTCAAAGGATTCCAATACCTGTCATACGAGGACAGATTGCGATCATTGGGACTATATTCCGCTCAGTATCGCCGAACTCGAGGAGACTTGATTTTGA